TTCTGTAAGGATAAGAACTGGTAGCTGTTAAACATCCTTGTTGGTGGCATGGACAGTGGAATCAACTGTGCCCTCTGCAAGTTCGCTAACACCAAGCTGTGTGTCAGTCAACACAGCTGGATGGAAAAGATACCATCCAGAAGGACCTGGACAGACTGAGTGGTGGACCATTCCATGATTCTGTGAAATCCAAAAGATAACATCCCTTAAGGGAATATTATTCCTAAGCCAGGTGAACTTTGCAGTACATAGTATATTCTGCATATTTATTTAGTTGTGTTGTACAGCACTTACTATAGCTACATCTGTGCAGTCAGACTGGCTGCTACTGTTGAGGAACATGGTCACGGAGGTAGCTCGGGGTGCAGCTGCAGTGGGAGCTGCAGGCTGAGCTCTGGCTGGTGGAGCTCAGGCAAAAAGGCCGTGGAGAGCCGACCCTCGGCACAACAGGGGCCCAGGGACCCGTGGCCCAGCCAGGGGAGCGGATGCCGAGACACGGCAGGAGCCGATGGCCCCAGACCTTCCCGTGCCTAGACTGGTGAGGGGATAAAAGCCCAGGGGTTCCTTTGTTCCAGGTCCCTCCTGAGAGGGACCAGCTCGAGCTGTTGGTTTGTTACTGCACTGTAATGAAGTTATTTTAAGGCTCAGGAGACTGAGACTCTGCTATAGGAAACTGGGGTCCACCCAGTGAGGAAACCTGCTCTGACAGTGGGAATGTAGGGGCTGTGATTTTTTCAAAAATAATTCAGAGGGAAAATTTGAGAAAGTTCACTAGTGAATACTTAGATCATGGTACAAACATACTCTTTCTTCTAGAAAGAGAATCATACAATTTAGATTAACAAAAACAGTTATGAGTGGCAAAACATTACAGCAGAAACAAATTCTGCGATAGTTAGAAGTAAATATATTTCATGTTTGAAAGAAATCAATCTTCAAAATGTGGTAAAGTAAAATCCAATTAATTTTCAATTAATTTATGTGAAAGAAAACACTAGGGGAAAAAAGCTTAAAATTAAATTCACCTTTTTAAAATATGATCAGAAGTCATTAGTATTCATCTGTACACTCATGGCAAAACCCAACTGCATCTCAGCTCATTCCCCAAAGAGAGATGAAGATTCAGTATCAAACATTTTTTTCATACTTACAAAGGAAAGAATGATAGCATTCTATTACTTTAATACTTTCAAGTATTAAAAACAAAGAAATGCAGAAACCCAAGAGAATATTCTGATACAGCCAGTGTCTCTCAAAGTCAGATGAACTCCAGAAAATTAACTGGATTTGCCGTTTGGCCTAGGTTTGTTTGACTTTTTAGTATATTTTTTCTGGGTATGAATTTTTTATCAGTGAAGAACTACAAGCAGAGAAGTGCAACTAGGTAAGTTTAAAGAATCCCTATGTGATTTCACAACAAATTAAACCTCATTCCCATCTATAGCCAATCTCGGTAAGAAAGCACAAAAAGCTAGAATTCAAAGTATTAATTAATGAAAAAATATATCTTGAAGTATCATGGAAAAGATTTTCAAAAGACCAAGAGAAGAATTTTCACAAAGCCCACAATATTTTTGCAAGATACTTCAGATAACACTCTAATCTATTGTTTCATACACACATAGTAAGGCACATAATAAGAAATTAGGTAAATACAAGTAATTTAAGTATTAGACTTAAAAGTGGTAAAAAACCTTGAGATTTCATTTTTCTGCCCTGAAAGATGACCTTAGCAAAATAACTTCTTAAAAACTTGAGAAACCATCATAGACCTGAATATTTTTCATAAGATTGCAAACATTTAATTAATTAGAGAAATGTAAAAAATTATTTTAAATCAATACCATTTTCTTGTTTTATTTTCTCCAAGGTACTGCTACACATCCCTTCACAGTAGAAATAGGACATCAGACTTCCAACCAACAGTCAAGTCAAACTAATTCTCCAATGCCACACCTTGAAGAAACTTGTCAAATACCTTCTATTCCCCAGAGAGAAGGCACTGCCTTTTCTCTAATAACTTAATCTATAAGAACAGCACAGACTTTTTATTTTTATAAACAAGTTATTTGTAAAGATTTGCCAAAGTATGAACACACACCCTGGTAACATAAATACTATTTAGAGGATACTCACAGTTACAGTTTGTTTTTCTTCAAGAAACCCAAGCACTATTTCACATTCAAATTAGTGTTTAATCTGCACAGAGTAGATTTACCTTTTCATTAAACATACTCATTTGGAACATTGTGAAAGCACTAAATTGTTTTGTAGGGCTGATTTCAACAAAAGCTGAAAGGATGTTCTCAAAATAAAATTATAAGTAGGAAATTTGATGATAAATATTGTTGCTAAAACTATTTCATAGAATAATCTTTCTATGGATGACATACTTGCAGCTAAAATCAGAAAAAATCATCACTTAATTCTTTATGTATGAATAAGGTTTTTCTTTGAAGAGACAGAGCAGTCACAGCTGCCTCAGTCTCTACTTGAAGATTTTACTAAAACCGTTATGCAGCCTTAAAGGGAAAATTCACAGAAAATTCAGATTGAAGATTTTGAGAAGGAAACTTTGAGATGTTGGTTTTCTCCAAAGTCATGATTGTGAAGGTCAATGAGAGCATGAACTGCTTCTTCCACAGAGCCCAGCTGGATAAGAGCCATTTTGCAATCACTCCTGAAGAACAATAAAAATTATTAATCCTAACCAAATTTTCACTAGCCAACAGAGAAAAGTAGCATAAATCAGATTTTTTTCTCAGCTATATCACATACATTTGTACAGCAAAAGAATCAGAGCTATTTAGGCATCTGCTAAAACGTAAAGATAACAAAACTACATAAATTTTGCCAATCTATGGCTTAAAGTCATGTTATTCTTTCATTACACAGTACTTCAAAAAGCTAGGGCAAAATGAGGCTTGAACACCTCTAAGAAATACTTACATTTTCCATACAGACAGAATTATTCTAGCAGGTATGATCATACTAAAATAATGCTGTTAACTAACCTTAATTAATGTAGACACATTGCCATCAGTTTCATTTTTTATATGGCATTTTACATACACAAAACTTGTCTTTTATCAAGAAATGAGCATTTACTTCCCTTAAACTTGTTTTACTTTGAACACACATGGAATTTGTCAAAAGGCTGCACATTTTTAAGTTTAGTTATGCTGACCCAGTATCCGATTTAAAATTTTAAGACTGAAAGGATCATAAATATCATTAGAGGTGTACCACTTTTGCCTACAGCTATATATACATGGAATTCTGCCTGTAGTTATATACACATAGAAAGTCACAAAAAAGCAATTAGCTATTTTCCAGGAAAGACTGCATAGCAATTTTACAAGAAAACTCACTGGAAAAATCTGAAGCCTTTCACAGTAGATCCTTTACTTGTAAAAAGGTTCTTCAAATCATCAACAGTGACAGAATTCCTAATTGAAAAAAAAACAAAAAACAAACAAACAAACCAAAAACAAATTCCCCTCAACTTGCAGAAGAGCACAGAGTTCTGTAATAAGATCAAGATCTCAATTTTGGCTTCTAAACTAGTTTTGCTGTTTAAATTTATCTCCATCAACTCAAACCACATCAACACTTCAGCCCAAAACACTTATCTTTTACTCCACATTTTAGTATCACATTGTGCTACAAAAATATTTTAAGACACACTATTGTTTTTCATACAACCCTGTTTCTTTCTCAGTAAAATTAAGATTGCATAAAAATCTCCTAAAATCTTAAGGAATATGTTTCATCTTGCAACTTGTGCAAGTGCATGTCACATATTTTCAATTTTGAAATATTTTTGTTTTACTCAAAAAGCTGTTTTCAAAGTGTCTTAAAATTTTCTTTCTTTCTTACTTGGGCAAAATTCCATAGTTTCCTTTTTTTCCCTCCCTGCACAGCTGGGAAGAAGAGAAGTTTGTAAAAACTTATATTTGGCTGTTACACCACACACTGCTGATAACATTCTAGACATAAAAAATATTGTTTCAGTCTTAAAGAGTACACTAAATACTTTCTTCCTTCTCACAACTTGCCCTCCACATAAAGAGATCTGAATTTTGTAGAAACTGTTCCTTAAAAGGTGTTAGAATTATTAAAAACTGTATGTATATTAAATAACAATGTTAATGATGAATTTGTTGTCATGCACATTACCTCAAAAGACATGTCTTTAACCTTTGTGAAAATTTGACACAATTAAATATACCAAAAACCAAAAGCACGCTCTGAAGAAAATGTAAACTGATCAAAACTCAAAGACAATAATTCCTTCAGTTATACTCTTTGCTAATGATAAAAATGGGACAGTTAAAGGATTCACTTACTGCTAATTACATACCAGAGTGACCCACTGCAGAATGAATTGTAAAAGGCCAAGGAAAGACAACCAAAACTTATGCCAGACTTTTTAACATAACCTCAAAAACATCTTTCCAAGAAGATGACACATGCAAATACTCACGGGATGTTGGAGAGATGCAGGGTGGCAGATGGAGGAAAGATATTTTGGAAGTTCTTAGAGCAGGGATTCTTAAAGCGATGTAAAGGGCTGTTGCTATAGTCCTTTGTCAGACCTTTGTCCTCTTGTCCCTCACGAGGAAGTTGAATTGTCGGATATTTTGAAAGAGTAGCATGCATGACCCTTCCATAAAGCCTCTGTCCATTCAAGTAGGTGATAGCTAAACATTGGAAACGTAATTTGGACATGAATTAATGGAGGGGAAGAAAAGACAATTATTTGAATACAAATACTGTTTCCTACTTAGTGTCAGATTTCACATTCTAAATTTAAACTGTAACTTCCACATCTAGCAGGTGGGCTATGTCACAACATTACATTTAAAAAGGTATAAGGATATAACAATCTCCAGTTCAAATGCCAAAAAAATGCAAAACAACATTTCAATACTGACCAGTTCACTATTCTTAAATAGGTAGATATAAGATAAGTTACAGGAAAATAATACAATGTATTATTAAAATAAATGACAAGAGAGTTGTATGTTTTAATTTAACTATTTACTAGATTGAGATTCACAGGACTTTATTTTTAAAACCATGAAGAGTATTATCAAAGTTTGCATGTAGTAATGCAGCACAATGATGAATTTAATTTGCTTATGTTTGTCACTGACAGATGACAAATTCTTCCTTTATATTAATTAAACTCATGTTAGCTTGAAGCATAACTGTGCCTTAAAAATCAATACCTAATTGAGCCTGACTTGCATCTGCCATCTGAACCAAAGCAATTCCTCTTTTCTTAAACATGATCTTCACACGATGCACATCACCATACACACCTGTAGAAATCCAGAAAGGCAATTTTTTCAGAGCACGTCTACAAAAAGCATAAAGTCAAGTCTGTTTCTTTTGACTAACATTATTGTTACAAAGAATAATCATCTCATTAAACAGGTTGGTTAAAATATTAGTATAAGGAGAGTTTTAGAGTTTGTGTATTATTTTCTGGGGCTCATAAGTGGAGGAAAATCCCCCAGATCCTAGTCATACTATCGCATGTTTACATTCAGTTTTTCAATAGTGTAATAGTTGTCAGACCTCTTAACCAAGGCAAAATATTACTCTGCCAAACACTGTGCCCTGCAACTACCACACCAGTCAATTCTGTACAGCATTTCCTCTGATGCAATCTCTGTTTTTGTATCTTACTTTACTTTTCCATTTTTCATAGTAAACAAATTGGACCACACACCGAAATTCTTCTGACACTAACTATTTTGCCATTTTGGTATCTCTAGCTTTAAGTCCTGACTCAGCTTACTGAGACTTTAAAACCAATGCATTCTCTCAGTGCATTTCCTGGACATGCACAGAGCAATGGAGTTTGAATTAACCAGGATGGGTCAGATAAATAAAAAGAACCACTAGTCCTGTGGTTTGTCAAGGCATATTTGACGTGTCTTACCAAATAGGATGAAAAGTCCATAAGGTGTGATGGCCTGTTTAAATGATAAAATGAGTACATTATTTTTAAAGCCATGCAAATAAAGACAGCTATTCCATAAGTGCATGGTAAACAAAAAGAATGGAAGAGATACTGCATACTAATACAAAAACCTGCCTCTCCAAAAGCCATTCCCTGCAACAATCACAGTGTATAGCACTCTTGTTAGTACACATTTGCTATGCACATGTAAAGTATGTAAACAAGCAAACAGTTCAGTTCATGCATTTTCATCACTCAAGACTCATTCTGTCATGCTGCAGAAGCTATTAATTTTTTAAGTAGCTTCATTATTTGACCTTATTCTTTCTAAGCTAGCAGCTCATTCCCTGAAAGAAAAATGAAAGACATTTGTTGAATTAAAAATAAAGCATTAAAGAACTCCTTTGTATTTTGTAAAAAACAGACAATAGCAAAAAAACTAAACCCAGTTGCTTCAAAATGTGTCTGCTTCATCATCAATTTTGTCCCCATCCCTCTATATGGCTATGACATTCTAAAGGGAGACACAGAGAATTAAACTGTTTATGTATGAAACGTATAGAAAGTGGTATTTAAATTGTATTTGATTAGAAGCTGTGAACAGAAAGCTAAATATTGAAAGAAATTATTTTTCTTCAGTGATCCTCAATTAAATTCTTGTGTGCCAAGTATCAAAGAAGATAATTTACAATCTAATGCAGCCAGAATTTTTCAGCAGAGGTGAAGGTTTTGTCAGTAATGAGTTCTAGGAATACTTGTGTATCAGAAGCACTACTCACACTCTAGCCCTATTCCTTCTCAGCTTCTCAAAGGTGTAGGAAACATACCTAAATTATGCAAAAATAGAAGATACTGCAGCCTAAGTGTAAGGCCATACCCATTTATCATCAGCATTTAGTGGTAGAGAACAACCACAATGTAGAATTTAAATTCATCAAGAGTTTATGCTTCTGGCCCAAATATTTTAATTCAGGATGGAGATTTGTGTTTTTAAAAATAAATTTATGATTCAAATGAGACTGCAATATTTCTACTTAAAAAAAATAAAGGGGTGCGGGGGGAGACCAAAAGACAAAACCAGGCAATTTAAGAATCATGAAGGAATGTTTAAATGCACACTGAAACCCTGTAAAAGGAGAGAAATATGAACTATATATTTTCTATACAGAAAAAAGAAGTGACAGGGTAGACAACCAATACGGAAGGACAAGTGTTACAGAACTGCCAAGAAATATATTCCCAATAATTAATGCTGTAGACATTCTTATTTTTTGTCCTTTTAGGAAGCTAAGCATTACTGAATACATAAATATTGTATCACGCATTACAGCATTAAGTTCTACATGAATTCTTAGCTACAATTAGTACTACATAGAGCATCAGTGTCTTAAAAAGAGCTCTGACCTATGCTTCACATATGCTTATTCTTAAGAGACATGCACCTTTCAGATTCAAAAAATCATCTTAAATAGTCAGCTGCAGAAAGCACATCCACAGCCATCATCAGAAACTCACTGATAAATTGAAAAACCTAAAACAAACCTGACTTCTTGTACATCCCAATCTACAGCTGGGTTTTTGATGCTTACTCTGAATTTGGCTGTTAGTATGAAAACAGAACAGTAACTTAAACTGGTGAACAGAATTTTAAACCTCAGAATATGAAGGTAACTTCAATTTTGCCCACAACTCCTAACAGTTTTAGTTAACAAAATATACTGAATGTATGTAAAAAGAATTTTACATTACTGCAATAGGACTGCTTATCAACAGTCAAAAATAAATGTTTTTTAAGTCATGGCCTTGGTAAAGCTTGATTTTAAATTTTTTGGAAGATGCATATTGCTTTTAATTAAGCACTGATCAGTGTTTGAATAACACGAGTAAGATTATAGACCAGCCTATGTCATTTCCACTACAAAAATAACTATCCAAATTGTCTCTGGTAAATTTACTGCCACTGTATGAAAAAGCATCTGTGTGGTACTATGAAAAGTGAACATGGGTACTTATTAACTTTTAAAAATAAATATAGAGTGATGTCAACAGCATAATGTACCTTTTGTGTGTACAATGTGTTCTTCAATCTCAAAAAATTTGCAAAACTCGAAAGATCTTACACATGTTTAGAAAGGTACTTGATTTGGCGTGCTTTTATTTCCTTTTCTGTTCTCTCCTTTCCATTTAATTCCTTGTTTTTTAACCAACGTAAGGAGAAATCCTTTGCCTTCTTTACAGGTAAAACAGCACACAGAGGAGTCATACTAACAGAGATATCAGTAAATTATCATATATATATTGTTTACATCTTCAAACATTGCTTACATTTGACCACAGACCTCTCTAATTACTAGCTACACTGCTAACATAGGGTTCCTAAAGTAAATTGAGTTAGGAAGCTTTTCACTGATGACTGGAGTTTTTAAACCTCATCAATATTGCCAACTACCTAAAGTAAGTATAGAGCTGTCTTGTTTTTTACATTATCAGCATAGAGATTTTCTCTTATTTCTTCAGCAAATGTCAGTTTGCAAGGATTCTGGAAGTTGGTACGAGGTGACACTTGCATCAGTTCCACTAATCAAACTTACTTCAGGGTTGAGGTTGCTGACTAGTAAAACAGAGTTTCCTGGAACACCAGGAACATTCATGTGTCCAGGTGCTGCTGATGTGGTGACCGTGAGAGGACCAAGTGCTCCTGGAACAGGCAGAACAGAAGGACCTGGAAAGGTATAAATAGCATCACTTGACATCTCAAAGTAGAAAAAGAAAAATACAAGCAGGTTGTATTTGGCAAAACATCAATATTCAATTTAAAAATGCTTTTAAGGAGTTTAGTTATTACTGACCAATAAAACAAGAAGCTCTCCCTTTCAGAGAAAAAAGAAATAGTCAGCTACACAAGCAGATACAAACAGAAGGGGACATAAATTGCAGCCCAAGAAAACAGAAAAATAATTCAGCATACAAGTTTATCTGTGCTAGAAAGGAAAAGTCACAGTCTAAAAACCTATCTATTTCTCACTTAATCAGCAGAGAAAGGGACCCTTCCCTTTATTTGCTTTGAATGTCATAGTAGTTTTATGAACAAATGCTTAATTTCTTTTCTTGCACATAATCTTTATCATGGCATTTAGGTTCTTTGTTTATTAAACAATAAACTGTATCAGTATATGATTTTTATTACAGAAATTTATTTTATTGAGTACATATATGAGAAAGAATTACAAATACTCAAATACTGTGTTCTGATTGCTGTATTTTAAAACAAATGGCTCTGAACAGATGTATTCAGATGGACCACTAGCCATAACTACAAACACCACCTTTTTAGAAAACAAACTTACCTGCTCCCTGAGGAAAGCCTAAGACTGGGGCAAACCCAGGAGGTCCTGTATATGATGGAAAGACGGTATTTTGGGTGGCTAGAGAGAACAGATTTTTTTTTTTAAGCAAATTTAAAAAGATTTAGAAAACAAAAGAGATTTCAGCAATCAGAATCAGCTACCAGTGTTGCTATTTTGACTTTACCTGTGATTTCAGATGTTTACAAAACTTTTGGGTTAAAACTCTCAGTGAAATCTAAGATTCTATGTTTTACAAAGGCAATTTTCAGGCACTTTTGAAGGCAAATATTCTGGTCAGCCTCAACATTCCTCTCTAATTGAAGTCAGGGTAAAATGTAAATTAGAGACGTTTGAATAGGAAAGCACAGAAGAGATTAGTGTTGAACAGTGTGTTCAATGGTTTCTATTCACACAATGGAAATGTATTCTATAAAATTTCTGCAAGTAAATACAGTCAAAGATGTTTTGCAATGATATGAAACAACTCCTGAATACTAAGATCAGTATAAGCTAAACAATACAAACTTCTACAACTAATCTGAGGTTCTGAATTTTACTAGCTGCTGAAATGCATAAAGCATATATATTCTACTTTTTAAGGAGATGTACTTTCCCAGTTTGTGTAACTTCATAACTAACCAGTGTTTTTATAATTCCCCTGGAAATCATAAGCACTAACGAGATTTGGAATAGCAACATATGGAGAATCCCAGCATCAAAGATAGCTCAGTGATATCCATACTAGTATGTGGAGTTAAGTGCTACCCAGGATAGCACACAAAGCTGTTTTCCAAGCAGTTAGATACAAGACTGAGCTGTGGATTCACTCATATGTAAGGACACACAAAATTCTAATTTTTTTAAATGGGGCATGTATAATCAGAAAACACATTCTACAAGTTTGGCAATATGTCTGTTTTACTACTCAAACCTCCATACCACTGACTAAAATAGAGCTACTAGCAAATGGTTATTGATAGGGATAATACATTACCAAAAGAAATCAAGTATTCACAAAAACTACATCACATTACACCTCCTCTTATCTGTGGCAACAAAGTGTCTTTTATATAAAAAACTGAACACATCACATCAAAGCAAGTAAATACATTCTTGAAGTACATGCACTGGTGCATTATACTGACAAGTTCTGGCAATATAGTTACTAATCACTTATTCACAATCCAAGAATGGTAGTGGAAACATTAATAAAGAAATAGATCAAGAATTTTTATTCTGCCAAATAAGACCTGCATGTTGCACCCTGATACCAAAACCAGGAATGTAAAAAATATCAAACTGAGCTAATGCAGAAATATCTGGAATTCTTTGTCGGTTTTTTTGGTTTTTTTTTAATTCATTCGCTTTATGACTCTCAGCCTAGCTTTCTAAGCAATCTAATTCATGTATTTCTGTTTATACTCACTGGATGCAAGAACTCTTTAAATGCAAAATATGCACAAAATCTCTTTGTTTATAGTACGGAATCTGTTCCACAAAAAGCAAAAGAAAGATTAAAGAAAAAAGAGAAGAAAAACAAGTTCCAAGAGTAGTTCAGTTTTGCTATTAAGATAACTTCAAGTGCACAATAAAAAACAAATGTATTATTCTGAAAGTTACCCGCTTGGTCTTATAATTCTACATCAAAACTACATCCACTAGTAATAAGAGGCAGTGGAAGTACTCACATGACTTAGAACATCTTTTCCTCATATTCTGTAACTAAGCCTCTCAGAACATGCCATTGACAATATGTGCATCTTGTCACCACTGACAGAAAGGCTAGGAAGTGCGCCTCTCACCATCCATAGCTATTACTTTGGTTTTGCTATTTGTTTTGGGTTTTTTGGCTCCAAAAGCATAGTCATTTCTACCCTACAAGCAAGTGCAGAAATAAACTACTCTAATTGTATTTTTCCCTTCCATTGACATTTCAAATAGTGCAAGTCTAATTCATTAGAATGTATTAGAGTGGTAACAGCACATTTCTATAATGCTGTATGGCAAATTCCACCATCCTCTGCCCCAGACTGTAATGGCAGCTGTCCTTTACATAAAAATCCAAGACCTGCATTTAAGGGGAGCAGTGAAGACAAAAATCAAGAAAGTAGTGAGTGCAACTCACTTTCTTATTCTGATCTAAGCTAACTAACTCAACTATCCAAAAAAATCAAACCAAACCCAGTATTTGCCCTAGCTGCAAATTTTACAGAAAGGTAAAGGAAAATAGGGAATTATTCTCCCACACTTTTTACTCTGCAAATCAATTGGACTTGAACCTACTCAACAGCTATGTCAGTTCTTAGCTATGTATTATTGTTAATGGTTGTTATTAGAGAGAGACAAAGATAGCTAAAATCACTCAAATTGTGTGTGTTTCTCCAGTGTCACTTCAAGCAGATACTGTCTCCTCTGTGACAAAAGTCTTCCAAAATGTAAGAAAATTTCTTAAATTTCTTTTTAGAAGATGAGTACAGACATATATAAATAAGTATAGAATTTTGGATTTTCTTACAGTTTTGTTTCTTGCAGCACTCAATTATCCTCAAATATCAACAAATAAGAGCTAATACCTTTAAAACACTTCTTTTCAAGCAGATTTAGGCAGCCAGAATTATTCTGATATGCAATATTTACTACATTACCTGTACCAATGATACCATTTCACAGCATTTTAGCAGTATTTTGTAGCTTTTTTACAACACTTTAAATTTGCCCATGAGTATTCCTCATGTTATTGTTTCAGATATTCATTTACCATGTCTTGGACTTCATGCTTTCCATACAAATTTTACTGGACATAACAAACAAAAATATATACTAAATGTACCCTTCTATGAACCTGATATGAAGCCAGAGCATAAATGCAACATAAAAATTGTTATTTCAGTGTGTATTTTGTACTAGAAGTGAAGGTTTCTTACCAAAGGGAGTAGATAAGGACGTTTCTATGGTTCGTTGGCCATCACCAAAAGGAAGGTCAATACGAGTGAAATCTCTACTTTTGTCATTGTTGTACTTCACTGTTAGGTTGGTTAACTTGGAAAAATCAATACGCAGAGTGCAGCACCCATTGTAGATACTATGGCCATCCAGAGACTGAAGAAAAATAATTACATTTTGAGAGATAAAACACATCATGGTAGCCACCACTATAAGTTTATATTATTATTGCAGCTTTCACCACTTGAAGGTGGCCTATAAGAAAGATTAGGACAGATCTTTTAGTAGAGCAGGTTGGTATAGGACAAGGGGTCATGGTTTCAAACTGGGAGGGTTGATTTGGAATAGCTATATAGAAGAAGTTTTTTACAATGACTGTGATGGAACATTGGCACAGGTTGCCCTGAGAAGAGGCTGATGCCCTTTGAACAGGGCTCTGAGCAACCTAATCTAGTTGAAGGTGACCCTGCTCACTCCAGGGGATTGGACTGGATGACCTTTAAAGGTTGTTTCCAATCCAAACCATTCCACCATTATACGAGTTTTCACCTCATAATTGCATCCAAACAGTAACTCACCTTCTGGTATTAAGCCTACTTTTTAAAACACCAAATAGACAATTATGCTGCCATTTTGCTAACCTAAACATCCTGTGTAGAGTTCTAGTGTAGTACACTAGTATTATATTACCTTGTGCTAAAGGTGCTAATTGGACAAAACATAGCTTTAAGCCTTATGTGACTTCCTATGTTTCTAATCTTACTTCTCCCACTCAACACACAATATCAAATGGTAATAGGAATACTAATTTGGAAATTCTGACTGCATGAACTGACCCTTACATGAGGAACTCTAACACAGGATCTGAAGCACAAGAACTTTGAGAAGTGCTGGAGGGAGCTGGGGTTGTCTGCCCTGAAGAAAAGGAGGCTCAGGAGAGACCTTACTGCTTTCTGCAAATGCCTGAAAGGAAGCTGTAGCAACATAGGGGGTTGGTCTCTTCATCCACGTAACAAGCAGCATGACAAGAGGAAATGGGCTCCAGTTCTGAAAGGGGAGTTTAGACTGGATATTATGAAAAACTTCTTCATCAAAAGGGTTATTGGCATTGGAACCGGCAAGTGGTGGAGACACCATCCCTGGAGGTATTTAAAAAATGTGCAGATGTTGTGCTTCAGGACATGGTTTAGAAATTAACTTGGCAGCATTAGTTTTATCACTGGACTCCACGACCCAGAGGGTCTTCTCCATTACAAGTCCACAGACCTGGGCATGACTTGTAGTGAAACAACAAAGCAGACAGATCCTGTATCCAAGAACATCCAGAAGTGGTGCATAATTGTTGTGGGTGACACCCTGCTGCAGCAAACAGAGGCTCCCATCTGCTGACCTGACCATTGGTCTGAAAAGGTCTCCAGTCTGCCTCTCTCTGACTTGAATCACAGGTGTCATGAAAAGATTGCTAAGGCTTTTCTACACATCTGACTATTCATTACCAACTGCTCTCTTTGTATGAGAACTAAAACTTGGGTTTAGTTGGACTAAACTTGGACTTGGGTGAAGGGGCAGAGGCCTGCTCAGCAATTTCACTGACAACACAAAGCTGGGAGGAGTGGCCCATACCCCAGAGGGCTCTGCAGCCCTTCAGAAGGGCCTCAACACCTGGAGAGATGGGCAGAGAGAAACCTTCTGAAATTCAGCAAAGGCTAATGCAGAGCAAATCCTGGGGCCAAATATACTGGAAAGCAGCTCTATAGGGAAGGAGCAGGGGGTCCTGGTAGACCACAAGCTGCCTGTGAGCCAGGAATCTGTCCTTGTGGCTGAGAAAGCCATGTCATCCTGGGATGCATAATAAAGAGCATTGCCAGCAGGTCAAGGGAAGTGATCCTCTCCTCTACTTAGCACTGCTGAGGCCACATTTGGAGTGCTGTGTTCAGCAGTGGGCTTGTTAGCCCAAAAAAGACATGGAGCCCTCATGAACTCAATGGGTCCAGTGTTGACCTACAAAGATAATTAAGCAATTGGAGCACCTCTTTCACAAGTAAAAGCTAAGGGAACTGGGCCTGCTCAGCCTTGAGAAGACTGAGAGGGAATATATCAATGATTTTCATTTTGATAGAGTCATGCAGGTCCTGGAGTGATGTGCTATACATTTGTTTGTAGTTGAGTAGATAAAGTGCTGTCCTCTTTACTAAAAAGAGATGTCAAAGTTATTCATGTGCAACAAGAGTATTAGAATGATGAGAAATCACAATTAACAGACAAACACAAAATATTCCTAATAGTTCCCCTGCCACTAAGCAGGGAAAACCACCCAACAAAAAAACAAACAAACAAAATCAAGTTGAATACACTGTACTCACCATTTTGGCATGATATGCATTCGTTGCATCAGCAAATTGGAGCAGAACTTGAAACTGATTGTTCTTATGGAACATGACAATCTTCAAGACAAAGCCAAATTTAGAGAAAATCTGTTAGGGAAAAAACATGGGCTTTAAGAAGCAGTGAATAATTCATGCACACTAAAAACTAGAATTTAATATTCCAAATAAATTTCTGAAAAATATTTCTGTTGTGAGACCTGAACAAGAGTCAACTCAAAACTTCTTTTCAGGTAAAAAAATAATTAAAGAAAGGATATAAAAATGAGAAAGAAGGATAAACATTTCCTTAAACTATTAGCAATGTCTAATCAACGAAGAACAGGGAAGGGGAGTCCAAACACTCATTTGTCCAGTGTCTGCAGATAAATTGTGGATAATGAATCAAGAGTTGAGGTTTCAGAAATGGACTTCACAAGTCATAGAATCACAGACCATTCTGAGTTGGAAGGAATCCACAAGGATCATCAATCAATCATCAAAATTCCAGCTCTGCACAGGACACCCCAAGAGTCATGCCTTAGAGCATTGTCCAAAGGTTTCTGGAAGTCTCAGGCTTGATGCTGTGATCACTTCTCTGCACAGCCTTCTCCAGAACCCAACACCCTCTGGGTGAAAAATCTTTTCCAGACAGACTTAAATGTCCCTAACTTAGCTTCATGCCATTTCCTCAAGTCCTGTCACTGGTCACACCACTGAAGAGAGCAGTACCTGCTCCTCCCACTTCCCCTCTGAGGAAGCTGTAACTGCAATGAGGTCTCCCTCAGTCTCCTTCAGGCTTAACAGACCAAGTGACGTCAGCCACTCCCCATAAGGCTTTCCCTGCAGACCTTGAGCCCTGCTGACTCATATTCAACTTGCCATTGACCAGGATGTGCAGGTCCTTTCCACAGTGCTGCTCTCCAGCTTCCTGTTCTCAAGGTCATACACATCCCCCTTCCCAGTTCCAAGCTAGTTTAAAGCTCAGACAATAAGCCCCACTAGTTCCTACACTAGAACACTTTTCCCCCTCTGCATCACATCAGGTGTCAGTGGAACAGGTGCAGAATAGACTATCCCATGGTCAAAACCTTAAAATTTATTCAAAAACACCACAGAGCCACTTGCTGACCTGATTTATCTGTCTATTTCTATCAATACTACTTGTTGTTACTGGAAGTCAGCTGAGATGGGAACTGCAAACTGCATTTTAAGGTATCCACCTTTATGTTCTGTACGTAAGACAAATTCTGCAAATCTCTTGAACTAAAATACAACTTAAATAGTTGATGTGCTTATTAAGACCCACTGCCTAAACAAGAAAACAAAGAGGAAAGAAGCAAGATAAAGACCTAGATTTGAACCTACGCCTATACTTTATAATCAAAAGGTACTTAATTAATTGCAAATATAAGCATTGCAGAAATATTTTTAAAGGCTGAATTTAAATATACATACATTCAAAATGGGAGTTGCATTACATGAAGGCATCTATACAAAAGCAAAGCCACAAAGAGTGACAACAAAAATAAAGGTAGGACATATGTAGGAAAAAGGAGTCCAAACTGACAGTCAAAGAGGAAAGGTGAGTTTGAGAAATAGTATTTGTTCTCAAACAAACTGTTAAGAATCAATGCAAAGTCAGGAAAACAGAAAACCCTGAGAAATACTAAACCTGCAATGGAAAGAATGGCCATATATAAGCATAAGCATCTGTTGCCAGCCTCTTAGGCCTAGAATCAGACTCATGTCCCAACTCTTTACACCCAGTTTTTCCATCTCTCAGAATCAAGATTTTAATGCTGAAATCATCATTTAGCCGTAGAAAACAGAACAGAAACCTTTTCCCAGCAATTTAGTCGTTGAGTTCCTGTTCATAAAGCAATTCCTCCTAAGAAATGCCTAATTACAGTTTCTCATCATATGCTTTTCCATGTTTATTCAGAAAGCTTAGTACTTTTTTAACATAATGAAATTTAATGTACTCCCTCCTGTTTGATTTTAAACCTAAACACACTGTATATATCACTTTTGTTACTGCAAAGATAACACTGAATTTTCAGCTTCTTATGATAAATTTTTTAAGGTGAATTATGGCAAAAAAAGTTAATTTCTTGACAAGAAAGACAACTTACAAAATACAATCCAAGTATGGGATGACAACTTGCCTACTAATGTTCCAGAAGATGCTATACTTGTTAATGAAAATACTCATTTCCATTAACCTTACCACACAAAGTAAAATTCAGATTTTAGCTACTGGGCACAACATGATGCTTAAATTAGAGGAGATTGCCCCCTATTAAGAACTTCAAATAAGATCCCTTTTCAAATATTGATAAATTTTCAAGACATATTGGAAAAGTAGTTGAGTGAGAATAATTCAAACACTGAAAATATAGTTGTGCTGCACTGAAAGTAAATTAATATAAATTTCCTCTTTGCTGTTGCATTCTTAGAACAGTACAGCTCCCATAACCACAGGAGCTTGTTCTGAGGTTATTCTGAATGCAATAATAATAGCTATCTTAAGCAACTGACATAGTATTTGTACAGGTTCAGTAATGAGTTAGCAACACTCAGAGACATATACAAAGGTTTAGATCAGGCAAATTGCTACATCCAAGTGACAACTAATCTGTATAGTATCATGGTGAGGAGATACAGAGGAACAGAAAATTTTAGGAGGTAAGAGGAAAAATAGAGTGTTGCTATAAACAACTATTATTGAGATCTTAGCAGAGCAGGAAAAGACTCTTTCAGGAATGCAGGTTCCTACAAAATCATCCCAGTAATTCTAAATAGTATTATTTAAGAGACTCATATGTGGGGCATGGTTTTTACTGCAGAAATTACTACTAATTACAAAAGCCTCAAGTATGAAAAACTTTGCAATATTTGTAAAATAGCAACAAATATTTTGGACGCAAAGATGTGGTCTCAAAATTATTATTTTTAAATTTAGAGCCTTCAACAGCATAGCCCAAACACCTAGCAGAAGTTACAGTAATGTCTTTCATAACTACAGCCTGCCATTATTCTAAGCTTTCAGAGGCAGTCAAATGCCATTCTGAAGATGAACAATCAAAAACATTTGTCCTAGCAATTTGCATATTACATCACTTGCACAGAGCTATAAAAGTGAATATAAAATCCTAAATATAAAGCAAACTACAAAGATTACTCAGCAGAAAGTGCTAAAATATGGATTCACAAGTTCATAACATTCAATATTTCATTAGCTCATCATGGAAGCAGAATTAACAGTTCAAGTTTATTGCTGCTTCCACTGCAAGGAACTAAATGAGACAACATGAAAATCTGCGCACCAAAGCCCTCAGTCTATATTTCATTTACATAGAACTATTTCAAATCTAGATCCCTGAATTCAGCTAAATTATTTTAAAGAGGTAGTCCTCACTCAGAAGATTCAGGAACCACAGACACTTAGGAGAACAAATTAATGGATTTACAGTAGCAACACTGGAACTGATTGTGTGGTTTTTTTAAGCAATCCTCATTACCTGATACAGGATGTCTAAAGTGACAGGGTAAAAAACATTTTCAACAACGATTCGAAGAACAGAACCATGACTCGGAAGGACCCCACCTTCAGCAGCAAGAGGACTTGTGATACCCAGGTTTCCATGCTGCACAGCATTCACACCTTGCAATGCAGCTTGAGATCTCTGAAATTAAGTCATAGCAGAGAGCGCAATCATTTTACATACAAATTATTCATACTAAAACAAAGTCCTCCTAAATGAAAAGGAGAGAAAACACAAAAAACCATAAACCTTCAAAAAAACATGCTTCCTTGATATTACTGATTCAAATCCCACATTAATAAATAAATGGTAACTCTTACTTTCCGTGCTCCTCCAACTAGTAGGTGTAATTCACAGAACTGCAGGGTTTTTTTGTTAAACTGCTATTATTTTGTAATGTCCTAAAGACACAATTTTTTCTTTCATTCATTAAGCTATTATAATTCTAGACATTTTTCCAGCAATATTATTGATGACAACATTGTAATTTTGTGATAGATTAACAACCAGTCAGCATACCAAAAACTATTTGCTCTGCTTTACTAGGATTTGATTCTCTTTGGGTTTGATGGGGATAAGCTTAAAGGTGCACGTTCTACTCCTCTTTCAGAGCAAAGCCATCAACCACAAAAATAGGTTCAAATCTCACTCCTCAAACTAGACTTCTGTGATTACACAAGTCTCTTAACTTGTTTTTCTTGGGCTTTTCCCAAAAAGATCTTCATACCTCCTTTGAGTAGCAGAAGAGAGAGAGACCTGAAGTCATGTCTCAGCTACACTATTTCTTTGGAAGATAGATTAAACAGGGCACATGGCACATATTACCTAGTTTCAGAAAAATATATGCCTGCAAATAATCCATACTTCATATCTCAGCCTAGGGACAGTAATAGCATTCAGCTGCTCTACTAGGGTCTCTTTAAAATTTAGATAAAACTCAAATATAAGTGCCAAACAGTTTATTTTTAAAAGTTGACAATGTTATCATAGAAGAAAGCAGGTGCCACGTATCAAGTTGAAAATACTCAGAAAGAGACCCAAGGAGTCTTATTTGCAAATATACATATACTTTTCCTGAGGCTGTTATGCAAACCACATCCTTAAAACAAAAATCATGTTATTTTGTTTTGCAAAAAACAAACTGATTCAGCAATCTTAGATGAGGAAAGAGACAAATAATATTTACCAGACTGACAAGCTTGCAAGACTTCAGTGACTTTTGTGTCAGGACAAATAAATGATTTATGCCCAAATCACTACTGTCAATATTCTTACAGGAAAAAAAAAATCATGATACACACATCACAGTATGTAACTTATATATCTAAATGGGAGGTCAAGTGAAATTCATCCAGGAATGCAAAATCCATCGTTAACCCCTTGGGAACTTGGGTACTCTGCTCTGCAGTGACTGGACTCCAGATTTATGATACATTTTAGCCTTTCAAATCACCCCACAGCTCACTTAACTGGACTGCATCAGTTCATCTATTGGGATATTACTGGAAACAACACTGAAAGTCTTGCCAAAGTCAAGATAAACAATATCCTCTTGTCTCACCTACCAATCCAGTCATCTCACTATAAAAGGCCATCACATTGGTTAGACATTACATCCTTTTAAAAACCTTTGCTTGACTATGACTAACCACTTTCTTCTCCTTAGAATGCAGATAGTTTCCAAAATGCATTGCTCTACTCCTTACCCAGGGACCAAAGTAAGGCTGATCAAAGAGTGGTTCCCCAGATCTTTTTTCTGATCTTCCTTGTTGTCCTTCCTTAAGACAGGAGAAGAAAGGATTTTCTTTTTTCTCGGCCTCAGCAACTTTTTCCAACTACCATGACATTTTCAAGATTGTACACTGGCATCACAATGACAACAATCTGCTCCCTCAGAATTCAAAACTGTATTTCACTAGGGCCATAGACTTTTTGTTTATCCAATTAGTTTAAATGTTCTCTAATATGATTCTTCTCTACTTTCTTCATCATGACTTTTCCACTGCTCTCAAATGCTTGATAATACCAAGAGCAAGTCTTAACCACTGCAGGCTGCCAAGAAGGCGCTCAGTAATTCATCAGCCTTTTCCATCTCTTTTGTCCCTGCCCCATTCAGCAGCAGGCCTACATATTTTAAAAATAATAATGATCTTATTTCTACTGCTCATACAATTCAAGGAACCAAACTTGCTGCTTTTCACATCTCTCATCAGAGACAACTCCACATGGCCTTTAACTTTCCTAACATATCCCTGCATGTTCAGATAATGCTCTATAATCCCCCTGGGTACCTGTTCATGATTCCAACTTTTCTGTCTCTTTTATGTTTAAGCCCAGTCAGGAGCTTCTTGTTCATACAAGCAGTCCTCCTGCTACCTTCACTTGGTTTCATGACCATCATGATGAACTACTTTTGACCTTGAACTCCTCAACAATAATTTTACAGATACTGAGAAGTCCCAGTCTGTAAAAAGTTACTGAAATTATATATATCAGAATTTGTCTACTGGCATAGAGAAGAGTAGCCTGTTTATTTACTAGTGCTGTGGTTTAACCCTGGTATGCAGCAAAGTGCCACACAACTGCTCAGTCACTTTCCCTTAGCACAATGAGAGAGGGAATTGGAAGCGTGGAACTGAGAAAACTCATGTGCTCAGTCAGGGACAGTTGAACAGACAAAGCAATAGCTGCATGTGCAAGTACAGCAAAACCAGGTGTTTAAACACCTCCCCCATTGGCAGAGAGGTGTTCAAACATTTCCAAGAAAGTAGGAACTTCATCAAGTGTAACAATTACTTGGAAAGAAAAAGGCCACAATTCTAAACATCCCTCATTCCTTGTCCTTCCCCCAGCTTTCAATGCTGAGCCCAACACCATACAGCATGGGATATCCCTTGGGTCAGTTGCAAGCAACTGTCCTAGCTGAAACCCTTCCCATCTTCTTCCATCTCACTGGCAGGGCAACATAAGAAGCAGAAGATATTAATACTTTGTGTCACAAGATTAATAGTTTCTGTCTCAAGCTGCTATATGGGAAATTAACTCTGCCCTAGTAAAAAAACAGTACACAACTCACACAGTTATATCCTGCTAAATGGAAATACTGTACTTACAGCCTGATGACGTTGATTGTTAGTCCGAAGTTCCTTGTAATTGGAATACTGAATATAAACTGGCTGATTGTGGAGAAGAGGTGGAGCAGGAGTGTAGTAGTTCACCACAGAAACAGCAGCATCTACAGAAGCCATTTCCAAAAATGCCTGCAACCAATACACAGCTGATTTCAGTGCTGGTTTTGTTTGTAAGATAGAAAAAAACCATAATTTCTTCCCAATTCCACTCTCACTAGAGAAAGATTATGTGAAAGTACAATACTGAATTGCTCAGCATTAGAATGCATTTTTGTTTGCATGCTTTATTCAAATTGTGGGTTTTCTTAGAAAGTTTGACATTTTAAGTACACTGTGTTATTTAAGAAGAGATGGAGTAAGTATGACATACAGGAAAGCAATGCTTCTGAAAGAACCACACTGCTAATCAATTTTTTAAACTCCTGAAACCAAGCACTATTACCTAGATAGCTGATATGCATACTGATAGAAAAAGTTGGGACAGAACATTAAACATCCATCAGTTTATGCAGTGTATCGATCCTGCTCAGTGCTCAAAACAATTTTTTGAGTGAATGCTTATTATTTTTAGGATTTCTGTGTTTCTTCATGATACAAACTAGTCTTCCACATCTAATAAGATTAAACAGATGTCAAAAAATTAGCATGCATGTTAGTAACTTAAGCAGGCAGGCTCTTTGAAGACATATGTCATCAATAGTGACAATGCAGTGATTTATCATCTATATGTTCTCCTTTAAAGTGGAAATAAAAGTTAGCAATATTATTAACTAATTTCTAGTTCATTATTTAATCCAAAAGCAAATTAAAATTTTAAAATAAATTTCAAAACATCCTTTCATATTTAAAAATATGAAAATCTCCTGCTTTCAATTAAATATTTAGACATTGTTGCAATCATTTCACTCAAGCACAAGATCAAAATTATCAAAACATGAACCACATCTTCAGTCTTGCTCTTGTTATTGAAACATTGAAAACTACATACCTGTCCTTTTCCTCGTAGCATCAAGAGATTGGTTACTTTGCCAAAAGGGAAACCTAATGAAACAACTTCTGCTCCAGACACACCACTTGGAATATGACGAATATGAAGGACGCGTGAAGGGGAACCTGGCAATTTGTCTCCTTTACTCTTCTTCTCATTATCTAAAATATTTTAGGGAGGGAGACAGACAAGCATACAAGACAAACTCATTGCACAGTGTAAATATCAGAACCTAAAGGAGAGAAACTGATGCCTCAGCAATGACATTGACTTAAGTATAGTTCTTTGAACCTTAAGAAACGATATTTCACATCTAACAAAGGCACAGTGTAAGAAGACATCATCAACTCTTCCAAATCTTGACAGCAAGGGAAGGGTAGGATATATTTGGCATTGCTTTGGACTTGTTTATTTTCTGGAGATTTGGTTTTGGTTTTCTGTTGTTTTGGTTTTTTTAGAGGGCGGACAGTAACTTCTCCCCAAATGCCTACATAAGATATTTATAAAATGTTAGTTGCACAGAAGAGGGGAAAGACATAATCGGGAGGTAACACATTAATTTTCCTTTTATTACCAACTTATCTTTCTGTGACTAACTCAAGGTTTGGGGTTTGTTTTTACTTTATTAAAGAAAGCCTGCTGTTCCAAATGATTTTAAGTTTTAAAAAGTCTTTGAAAAAGACAGCATGAAATCCATACAAACTCTTAAGTCTCCCATGTTGATATACTGCCAGAATGTTTTGTTTTTTTTAACATATGCCTATTTGGATCCTGTCAGTGACTGATAAGTGACCAATGACTGGTAAATGACTGCATTTAAAGAATATTGCTCAATATCCTTGAGCACTTTTAAGCAGAACACCACATCTGGAACAAGCATATTGTTCTAGAAGCAATTGCAATGGAGGCAAGAGAGACAGCTTTAATACCTAATGTGTTGCATCCAGCCTTCCAAGGAGAAACACAAAAGATTGGGAAGAAATTTCTGTATGAGTTTTGTAAGAAGTTTCAGATTTTGGTATAGGTTTCTTATACAATCTGAGAACTGGTTCAAGCAAGTTATTCAGCATAAGGATGTTTACAGAGGGTCTTTTTACTAAAAGCCTGCATAATTTCAAGCTGGATGATCAAAGCCCAAACCATACCATACTTAACAATTATCCCACTTGCAAAACTGAGAGGTCTCCTATGCACTGATTTTTCCATCAAGAAATTTTTCATGGCTTCATGTGCTCATATGCATTCTGAAAAATGTGAACTTTAAGACAAACATGACCATATTAAATACATTTTGGTACCAAGCCACAACAGGACATACTACTAGTAAGCTCTAACAACCTATTTTGTTACTTTTCAGGTTCAAAATGGACAAGATGTCCCTCACTTATACTAAGTCAAGGAATGCTTGAATAAACAAAGCAGGAAATGAAGCCTACTATGAATTTTGCCTTTCGTTTAATATGAAAGACTCTTGAAGAAGCAGTATCTTCTGGGTTCTGACACATTGTCAGAGGTGACAAAATGGAGCTAAGAGGCAAACTATTGAAGTGCTTCTTTTCTTGCAAAACTTTAGGTACACCTCAAATACAAAACTTCATAGTTTTTTAAACCATACTTCTTTCTTCAGCTGTGGTTTGATACTAATTTTGATGCAAAGTGATAACCATCTGTATCTTCCAGCATCTAAATTTCAAAACTGATTCAACAATTCTTTAAAGCATGTCAAAGGTGATCACCGTCCTCTATTGTACACTCAATTGAGTAGAAGTAAAAATGCTTTCAGACAGAGCAAAAGAAGCCTTATGAACAAAGTGAAAATTGGTTCCTGATGTACAAAGGGAAGTTCATTACAATTGCAATTCATGACTGGTACAAATGTATTCCCTGAGTAGCCTGAGGTAGAGAAGTACACATTTTAGATATGTTACCCACCAGACCAAAAAAACCCCAAAACCCAAAACATAACAAGAAACTGCTGCAGCTGAAGCAGCTGTATTAGGTAAAACAATGCATTTCAATAGAAATTACATTACATTTTATATTTATATGATTATTAATGCTACTAATATATCCCAAAAACCTCTATAGCATTTAGACACCTAGGCTCCACTGTGAAGGATCAGTCATTGCAGTGTTAATTAATAATATATATTTCAGCTCTTACACTGGTGAGCTATAAGATGATGTTATTTCAAGCCAAGCAGAAATATTTGGACATCACATTGAATTAATCAGCAGCAGTATATTGTATATACATGTCAGCAACCTGACATGTGCAGGTCAAAGAAATCAAAAAGAAAAATCTTCAAGTTAGCTCCTCACACTCTTCATTCTTTGCCACTGAAAATATAGCAAGTCTTAGACACTTACCAAAAGATGATGTGCTCTGTCCTTTGCCCTGATATAAAATAAACTGTTTGGAAACCAGTGCTGACAGGCAATTGTCAATGTCATGATTTAGTTAATTTATTTGACATAAAGTTAATTCATGCAACCACTGGTCATTAACACTCCGTGTACACCTAATGCTGGAAGTATTACTAACAAAAGCAGTAGCCAGCTTTCTCTCACTTTCAACTTATTGTCTGATCTAAAACTACAGGTAAACATACACTTACTGCATCTTCCTCAATACACACACACACACACACACAACAAAGGGGGGAAAAAAAACAATGCAGAAAAAGAACACTTGAAGAACTTTGATTTTTTTTTTTTAATGTATACCTGTAGTTGGAGTAGAATTGCTCATGGTAAAAGGTCTGTTACTGACACCAGAAGAAGCTTGTCAGGACCACACTAAGAAATAAAAGACAAGATTACTAGTAAAAGCTGTTACAGAGGAAGGTAATATGAAAGTGCAACAACTCGCTTTACTTACTCTTCCCAAGAACACCCCCTTCCTATATACATTACCCACAACTTCCAGGAACTTATTTTTCTGGGAAAAAAATGACAACAACATAACTTTTCCCCATGTCTCAACAAATCAGCAAATTCAGCTGTGTTACACTTCATATTTAAATCTATCCCACCACAGCTCACTTTTAAAAAAACCAAGAATAACAAATGCTTAAGAAACTAAATGAGCTGGCTGCAGGCTCTGGGTCTGCAATACAACATTACTTTCAAAATGCACAGCCACACAGGTAAAGTCTGCATTTACAACAGGACACAAGGGACCTCAAGCAAAACTAATTTGAGACATATTTAAACATACTCATGGCACATTTAAAAAAAACAAACTGGTTTTCAGTACCTTTTTTTAAAATACATATGACTTACCATCAAATTCTTAGGACAAAGATCAAAGTATTTGCTTTAGGAGTGTTAACAATCTGAGGCTCTAACTACTGAAAAGAGTTTGTGTATTAAAGGTCCTTCATTCAAAAAAATCAGCATCTAGCTCCAGTTACATCTGTTTTCTCACCAAGACTGCTGTAATACTCCAACCAAGTATCAGCTTCAAAACACCGACAAGAAACAATGTACCACAACACCGCCAAAAGGCAGTTAAGTTTCCTGAAACTTTCACCACACTCTTGCCATAAAATCTTTTTAATGAAAAATAGAAACTAAGGGAGTGATTCTACAAGATGGAATAAGTTGATCCAAACAGCTTCTCATTACTTTAGTGGAAAGAGAACTTTGAATTTTCCTTGGTCCAATATTCATGCACATGAACTGTTTATCTTGCATCAAGTCTAGTGCCCAAGAGTTTTCCTATGAGATTAATCAATTCTCCAGCCTGCCAGCATTCTAAACCGAGTTAGATTAGTTATTCGATGGCTCGCATTGGCTGCAAAGACACTGCTCAGAGTACTGGCTTATGTGGGGTCTGTGCTTAAAGGAGCAATTAGGTTCTCTTCATCCTTGTTAATCATGTGCTCCTGCTGCTTCCCTAGTGTGGGAAAGTCATTCACAACAGAAGACCGTGACTAGGCTACGGTGCTTAAAAACCTTTTCAGCCAAATTTAGCTGCTCATGAAAGAGCACAGGTGTTAGTGTGGGATGGAAGAAAACATGAGTGTGTTCATTCCTCTCTGGCAACAGTAGACTTATTTTTAACCATGAAACTGCATCTTAACAGTATATTTAAATACAACATCTAATTGTGGCAAACAGCAAAATCATTTTTACGTTACAAGAACTAAAAAATATAAACCCTGAGTTTTAAAGAAATGTCAATTAAATGGTTACTAGATGTCATGCATACCACATTGTACTTGCACACATACTAGAAGGTAATTAACATGCAATACTGATATTAATTTTCACCTATTAGCAGTACATTGAGTAAATCGGCACACAGGTATTTCACCTAAAGAGCATATTTTGATTGTAAAATGTTTATTAAACAAAAGCTGTATGTGCAGATATAGTAGAAGGTATTAATGATCCTTTATTACACCAAACCTTCCTTTCATTTACTGAAGAAAAACTGCTACTGATGTAACTCTTGTTGTAGAGGCTTGCATTTGGTTTTTAAATTAGCATTTATTCAACAGAAGAAATCTCTGCTGATTTCCAGAAGGCTGTGAAAAAAAACGTGGTGTATTACTATGTCCAACATGTATTCTTACAATTTCGTATTACATTTTATATACGCTGGTATTAAAAAAAAAAGGAAAAACCTCAGACATTTTCAGATGAAAACATTTTCCAACCTCTTCCATTTTTAGCACACACACAGAGAAACACAATTCAGATGGCTGCAGTGACCTGTGTCACAACTCTGTGTAACTGGCCTGTATCTCTAAAACAGAAGCTGTAGCTCACTTCAGCACACAATGAGCTGCTGCTTCACCATGGTGAACCAAATCAGCTTCAACAGGAAAAAAATTAAACCAAAGTACCACCTTCATCCATGACATGGACCTGTACTTAAAAGTGACACATCATTCAGTCACTGTATCCTAAAACAGTTTCCTAGATTTTGCTGTTACACTGACAACTATTAACCCACTGCAGCAGCCAAAACACAAAAAAACTCTTTAAACCCCAAGCTCATCACTCATGCAACTGCTTAACTTGGCTTAATAAAAGATCAACAAAGCTTTGGGATTCTTGCAATACAGGGAACCATCATAATTTCAAACTGTCTTCATATCTTCAACATAATACAAGGAGTATTTTTAAATCAACATACTTTTAATTACGTTTGCATTAAAAACAGAACAAAACAAACATTAAATCAAGACACTGTAGAATAATTGGCCCGGCCTAGGCTTGCTAACTCTTAAGCCCTGACTACAAAACTTAGTTTCTTATAGAACAATTTAAAATCTTACCTGAAGATTTTGGCTATACTTTTTTTATTATCTGAATGCTCCAGTGAAACACTACTCCAATTTTCAACTTTTTGTATCAATACTAAGTTATATACACACCCATACAACTACAGCATATTTATTAACTATAGCATGCCCCTTGGAAGGACGTAGTTTATGAAAACTGCTAGGAATGCCACTGTTTTTGCAGGTGGCTAACCAAAGTATTTCTCAAGTACAAGAATACTAAAAAGGTGCTTTTCATCTTCTCCTTATTTAGCCAGCTTATAAATGATAAGCCTTCTCAGTCACTGACTGAAAGCAGAAACAAAGTAAATGCAAAAACATTCTAGAAGATTGCAAAGATAAATTGACACCATGGCAGTTGTGCAAGTTGAAGTACAAAATGTGTATGTTTGAGATATTCTGGATTAATGAAAAAGACAACATTCACTTCTTCAATGTTTTCACAAATCTGCCCATATAGAATACACAAAGAAATTACAATATTTCAGTCTGCAAAGACCATTTGTTAAATCACTTTCTTCCCCACATAGAGGTGAAAGAGATAATTTTTAATACTTTGCAACTTTGCAAGTATATAATGTGGTGACAAAGGTCTGCTACAGGCTGCTCTTGTAAACAGGTTTGCAAGGCCTTTGAGTTTGCAAGGCCCTTAGTACTGCAAAAGTCCTCACAAGAGGGTAATGTGCCCTAGATAATGTCTTACAGGATTCTGAATGAATCTTTCTACAGAGGCTAGTTTCCCACTGGTTACTTCTTAGTTATCCACTATTTAGCTGAAAAACAGTCAAAAGAGCAGCCAAGTCCTGCTTATAAAGATACCTTGACATCCTTCCTTGTCCACAGTTCATGGACACTTGACAAGCACTTTGAAACAGAAGCTCACACTGCCCTTGTGCCATCACACCCATTTCAGTTTTCACAGCACAGCTGTGTGGGGTAAGACAGCTGCTTAACCTCAGCAAGCTGCTCGCACCAGTTCTCTGTGAGGCCACACTGTGAAGCGAACAGGGAGGCAGGCCAAGTAATCATGCTGCCTAACCCTTCCCTGATAAAAACACTTCTTCCAGCACAAAGCCTATCTGACAGAAAGTAGCACCTGCCTTCCGTGTGCCAGGATTGTACCAATTTCATAGTGAATATTCCTTTTTTCAGACTGTGGTAAAGAAGGTACATGGAATTGTTCAGAGCAAGGACAGCTACCAAACCAAGGCTGCAACATCCTCCTCTATTCCTGCATTCATTCCAAACACATTAATCATCTCCTAACATCTTAAGACTCCCTTTTTTATGCCATAAGTCTTTCCACCTCTCCTACTTCAAGGCAGCATTTTTGCATTTTTTGGGGATTATTACTTGGTGATGGGTAAAGCAAGGGCAATGGAACAGCTGCCGCTTGATTAAGTTTATTCTTTCCTTGTATTAATGAGTAAGAACTAGAAACCGGTAACTTAGGAATCTTAGCTTGATCCTCGACTTTTCTTTAAAAACAGGTTAACATCTATAGCACTGAATGAACAGTCCAATAAGAGGCCACCACAAAGTGTGGCACTCAGTGACAGATTAATGAAACAAAGTATTCTTCTGTACCTACCAGATCAATTTCCCTGACTAAATACAGCATATTACATAACTGACTACAGCAGCAGGTGCCTGTCCTGAAACTACTCTAGCTCTTCTACGATATTTAAAATTCTGATATAATTTATGCTAATGATTCTGCAATTCCAGGATAAAACCTTCTGCATTCATAGCACATGAATGCATTATCTGAAAGTAACTGAAAGTCAGCAACTCAGTCACAAAGGTTTCTAAAACCTTTGTGAATCACCTATAGTTGGAAACAGAAGCATAAGTCTACTACTGCAAAATCCTTCTTTAGAACATGTCCATGTGTAAAAACTATGGCAGGTGTGGCGTTACTTCTGGAATCACTGAATCCTACAAACAATCTTTTAATTTTTAAAAAAATCCTGTAAGACCCTTATTACTCTCCCTTCTGCTTTCAACTGCACTATTTTCTTCCTTTTTTTTTCTAGAAGTCACAAATTCTTCAGTACAGTTTAATTAATTAGAAATGAGATAGTTCCAGAGAAACTTATATTTGTACTGATGATTTTCCTAGAATTTAGCTAGTCATCTTTCTATCCCGTTATTTTTTTAAAGTCAACAATAAGGAAGAATATTATCACAGGTTTCATTATGAAAAAAGATCATGGGCAATTTTAAGGAGAAATAATTCAAAAAGCACCTCTCTCCATGCACATAAATTAAAACTGCACATTTTTCCACAGGATTCTACACAGCAAAACAAACAAATTACTTGAAATTTGCCTCAAAAGGGCAAATTTCAAAACATGACAATTTCAAGCTATACTACTGACTAACCATTGTTATATTTAAACCAACTTTTCTACTGCATACTTTATTAATTTTTATGGAATCTGACTGTGAAAACAAAAGCTAAGGGTCATGAGAAGAGTGAAAATTTCCATTATCTTCTAC